ACATCCTCGTTAGAATACCAACATCACTGGCTAACAGTAGACTGCCTCACAGCTGAACCCGAGTTGCAGAACTTGGGGTGGCTGGAGGGCATCAGTGGCCAGCATGGCCTGTCCTCACAGTGGCCATAGGTACCTTGGTACCACAGGGCAGAAAGTGAGGAAACCAAGGCAGCAGCATCACTTGGCCTTGACCCAGGGGACCAGAGGCCACGACCTACAACCAGTGCCCTTCTGCCCCAAGAGGCGGGCTGGAGGTCATCGACAGCACTGGCTCCGCCACTGGTCTGACCCTGACTGGGGCTTTATATTTTTTGTATATACAATTATTCCTCCATGAACAATACAATTTAATTTCTATTTTATCTTTGATTCCTTAATGTTGCCATATACTCTACCTAAAGCCTATGAAATGGAGTTAGATAAAGGTGGTAATCATGGGTAATTTTGTCTCATTCCTGATCTCAGAGGGAAAGTCATTAGCATTTCACCATAAAAAGTATGTCATCTTCTGCCTTCAGGCAGATGGGGCAGGGGTCAGATGTGGGTTTCTGTTGCACCAGACGGGTGGAGGTCAAGTGTTCAACCTTGAGTGGGGTTGAGTGTTCAGACTTGACCCAAACAGGTGATAAAGGACCAGCCTGGGTTATCCTGCAGCTAATATTCTTTCAGCCTGTCCTGCAGACAACTTAGTTCAGCCTACCCTGCATCTAACAATATTCCAACAGACAAATGTTAACACATATACCAGGCACCATTGTAAGCTCATGGAAGACATGGAGTGGGGGACTTGCTGTCTAGGCCAGTTTTTTTTTTTTTTTTGGTATAGGGTATTTTAGATTTTTCCAAATTAAGGACGTTTCTTTGTGTTGTTTGTTCACTTTTATCACCATTGATGAATTTTGTCGAATATGTTCACTGCATCTACTGAGATGACTCTTTCTTCTGTTAATCTGATACCATGAAGAAATACTAAAAATTTCTCCAATATTTAGTCCAAGTTTCATTATTGAGGTAAACCAAATTAGTTATGCATTATTTTTGTTTACATTTTTCTGGATGGGTTTTCCAATATTTTGTTTAAAACTTAACAAACAAGAACTGGGGGGTGTGGCTCAGTGGCAGAGCACTTGCCTAGCATGTCTGAGGCACTAGGTTCGATTCTCAGCACCACATAAAAAAATTAATAAAGGCATTGTGTCCATCTACAAATAAAAAAAAAATTAAGCTTAATAAACAAAATTATATATATATGTATATAAATTGATAAAAATGACTTGCTATATTCTTCTCTAATTCCTCTTAATCAAGTTTTATTAACAAGATTGTCCTAGCTTCCTAAAGTTAGGTAATAATTATTTTCTCTTAATTTGTTTGAAGATTTTGATTTAGACTGAAACGATCGTCTTCTTCAATGTTTGGAAGAATAAATGAAGCCATCTGAACCTGAAATCTGATTTATGAAAGGATTTTTGATAATTCATTTAATAGCTATAAGATTATCGATTTTTAAAAAATGATTCCAGAATTGTCCTTTCAGTGATTGATGTATTGCAGAGCCTTTGTCAAATATCACATAACACTTCAGATTTACTGGAATAAAATTGCTCATGTTCTTTTATTATTTTCTTAATGTGAAGATACCCCCTCTTTTTTTAATATACTGGGGATTGAACCCAGGGAAACTTTAGCACTAATCTACATCCCCATTTTGAGACAAGGTCTTGCTAAGTTGCTAAAACTGGCCACAAATTTGGTATCCTCCTACCTCAGCTTCCCCAATTACTGAGTTTATAGGTATGTGCCACTGTTCCTGGGCCCCTTTTTCATTCCTGGTACTGAAAGAAACGCAGTTGGCTTTGTTAAGCTTTGTGGTTGGATTTCAGTACTATTAACCCATGTTCTTAATCATTGCTACAGAGTGGCCTATATTTTTGCTGGTCCTAGAATCTGCCTGGCCTCAGGTCCCTTATATCACGGAAATTATGAGGCAGGGCCCTACCCTGTTATTGGCTGGTTAACTAAAGGAAGGATAGAAAATTAAAAAATAAATAAATATTTAACCAGGGGGACTAATCTCTGATTACAAAAGCTTCACCAGGTACTTGATAGTATATTGTGGCTGGACCGGGTGGAGCACACCTGTAATCCCAGCAGTTTGGGAGGCTGAGGCAGTAGGAATACAAGTTCAAGTGTAGCCTGGGTACTTTAGTGAGATATAAGGCAGGACAAGATACTATGGTTAGGCTCCCTGAGAATTCCAGCTTGCTATGATTTAGTGTGCATTCAAGTCATGAACACCCCGATTCAGCATCTGTACTCAAGGTTTTAAATATCTGCTAATGAGCATGTACTCACTTAGCTAACCCTTGGCACTGGGCCTTCTTTGTTTGGCCTGCACATAACAAAGGCCTATGGAAAGACTTGGGGCTGCGGCCTTGGAATAAAACATATCTACAGTCCCAACAGTGCCTCACATTTTTTCAAATGGTAGTAGTTAATCCACTACTTCTAAAGTAAAAGCATTTGGATAAAGAAGATTTACTTTAGGTGTGGAACAATAAATTGTAAAGAACATGAATGGAATTTTATGTCCTCTGTAAATTCTAGGCTTTTCATGAGTAAGATGGATGAAACTAATTTGTCAAACTGACTTGAAATGACTGACATAGAAAAAGGAAAGGGATGCAGCGTAACAGAAAAGATAGGAAAAACTGAATAGTCCGTTTTCTGAATTAGCTATCAAGAAGAGTCTGGAGGGGAAACACTTTAAGACATTGGTATAGGAAATAATTTTTGAACAGGATCCCAAAGGCACAGAAAACAAAGGTAAAAATAGACAAATGGGATTATATTAAACTAAAAGGCTTCTGAATAACACATGAAACCAACAGCGTGGAGAAATATCCTATATTAATGGGAGAAGATATCTGACAACTCTACATCTAATAAAAGAATCCTATCCAGAATATATAAGGAATTCAAAGAATTAACAAAAAAGTAATCCAATTAAATAATGGGCAAATAAATAACCTGAATAGACACATCTCAAAAGAAGAAATCCTAGTGACCAGCTGGGCTCAGTGGTACACACCTGTAATTCCAGCAATTTGGGAGGCTGAGGTAGGAAGAATGGAAATTTAAGGCCAGCCTTGGCAATTTAGCAAGACCCTGTCTCAAAACTTTAAAAAGGTGGGAGGCCTGCAGGTATCTTCCAGTGACCAAGCAACCCTGGATTTGGGAAGAAAGGAGGGGAAAAATGGGCTATATACACAAGGGAATATTTATTTATTCATAAAGAATGAAATCCTGTCATTTGCAGCAAAATGGTTGGAACAGATGGACATTACGTGAAATAAGCCAAACACAGAAAGATGAGTACCACATGTTCTCACTCGTTTGTGGAAACTAAAAAAGTCGACCTGATGGTAGAATAGTGATTACTAGAGAGTGAGAAGGGAGAATGGGTGGATAAAGGAGGGCTGGGTTTGGATCAGTGCACAGTGTAAAAATGTGTTAAAACAACATACTGAACCCATCAATATGTATAGTTAATACATGTTAATTTAAAAAGCATTTATAAAAGGGAATTCTGATTTTATTTTATACATATCATTAGAAGGAAGTGAAATGGGGATTAACTGGAAAATTAGATTACGGTATATTATTCAATTGCCACCTAGAACAGATTATGATGAGCCAACCTGTTCATAAAAGGCAGTTGCCTCACACTTGAAAGTGCCCTGTGACTCTGGACTTAAGCTTTTTTTCACAAAATAGAAATAAATATTAAAGGGGCTGGGGATATAGCTCAGCTGGCCGAGTGTTTGACTCACATGCACAAGGCCCTGGGTTCAATCCCCAGCACCACAAAAAAAAAAAAAAAAGAAAGAAGAAAAGAAATAACTATTAAGAACAGCAAAACTTGTTGATTGATTGTATGTCCTCCTCTGAGAAGTGTCTGTTCAGGTCCTTGGCCCATTTGTTGATTGGGTTATTTGTTTTCTTATTGTCTAATTTTTTGAGTTCTTTGTATACTCTGGATATTAGGGCTCTATCTGAAGTGTGAGGAGCAAAAATTTGTTCCCATGATGTAGGCTCCCTATTTACCTCTTTTATTGTTTCTCTTGCTGAGAGAAAACTTTTCAGTTTAAGTAAGTCCCATTTGTTGATTCTTGTTATCAACTTTTGTGCTATGGGTGTCCTATTAAGGAATTTGGAGCCCGACCCTACAATATGTAGATCGGCGCCAACTTTTTCTTCTATCAGACGCAGAGTCTCTGATTTGATATCTAGCTCCTTGATCCACTTTGAGTTAACTTTTGTGCATGGTGAGAGGAGGGGATTCAGTTTCATTTTGTTGCATATGGATTTCCAGTTTTCCCAGCACCATTTGTTGACGATGCTATCCTCCCTCCATTGCATGCTTTTAGCTCCTTTATCAAATATAAGATAGTTGTAGCTTTGTGGATTAGTCTCTGTGTCCTCTATTCTGTACCATTGGTCCACCCTCCTGTTTTGGTACCAGTACCATGCTGTTTTTGTTACTATTGCTCTGTAGTATAGTTTTAAGTCTGGTATCGCTATACCGCCTGATTCGCACTTCCTGCTTAGAATTGCTTTTGCTATTCTGGGTCTTTTATTTTTCCATATGAATTTCATGATTGCTTTATCCATTTCTACAAGAAATGCCGTTGGGAGTTTGATTGGCATTGCATTAAACCTATAGAGAAAAAAAAAAAAAAGAACAGCAAAACTTTATTTTTAAAAAATTGCCTTTGTTGCAAGTTTAAAAACAGGAAAGGCCATTTTTCCAACCTAAAGACTTCATAAATATGGCCAGTGTAGGAAGCATGTCATTTAAAAGGATCATGTTGAAAATGGTAAAAGAGGATATCTATGGGCATTTAGCCAACTTGTCAGAGGCGGTGAGATCCTCAGGCAGCCTGAGCACCATGGTTAGGTTACTTCACAGTCCAGCAATTACAGCTTGATTCCTACACTTAATAGAAGGGAATGTAGTTTTTAGGATCCAACAAGGGAAAAATGTCCCTGAAAAGGAAGGAAAAGAAACAGTCACAAAGTGCTGATGAGAAACTATTATATGACCTCAGACCCACTGAGGCCCTCAGGCCTCACGGGGGGGAGAAGCCAACAATTTGAAATCCCTGAAGCCATTACAATATTCTGATGATTCAAGTATAATAGGTTACATATAAATATATATATATGTAGACCCACACACAAACAACAGTATATAAGTTCGTAATAGATCTACTATATGATATACATTATATATATATATATATGCGCATATATACACTCATATATATAAAGAGAGATTATTATATTTTACATATAGTGATATATATAGAGAGAGAGATGAGGGAGAGAGAGAAATAAAGCACATGCTATTATCTGGTAAGTTCTCAGTTAACCAGTGTTTATAAACTTTACATGGCCACCGTATCTCAAGTTTTAAATTATGAGTGTCAGCTGATACATTGGAAAAAAAATAAAGGTCTGTCCTTCTGACATAACTAAAGTCCAAGGAATAATTCTTATGACTGATTTAAGAGGAGTGTTCAATTTTGGCATTTAAATTCTTCTAGAACAAAAAGCTGATTAAGAGTTGGCAAACATATCAGTTACCATCTTCATGGAAATTCACAATCCTATTCCATATTTATGCTATAGATGCCAAAGATTTTTTTTTTTTTTGCAGGCGTAGATTGATAATACAAAATGGCTCTCAAGGTTGCAATTATAAAAGTTTGTTCGAAAGAATGAAAAATGTTAATGAAACGTATACCTAATAACCGTAAGAATACATGATTTCAACAATCCTGAACTAAAATCTCCCGAGTATCTGGTATACAAAGTATGGTGTATGTCATTTAACAAACCAATACCTATTTTCACCAATGTAGACATTTATGGCACTAATTCAAAATACTCTCACCTAGATAATGTTCTCGGAAGGTTTTCCAAGTGTTCGACTTCACATGACAGTGAGCATTTCTGTCCCACCGGCCTTCTGGATTCACGACTACTATTACCTCGTATTTTCATCACCAAATTTATTGGAAACTTTCTGAACAAAATAAAAAACAAATATATAGATTTGAGCACTGTTTTAATTAAATTTTTGGAGACAAGGAACATCTCATAAATGGAAAGTTTGACAACAGAACCTCTCTAGTATCATCTCTTTGATGATTGTAGATCAGCCATATACCAACTGACTGAGTATCATCTATTTATTGACAGAATCAACTGATTTTTTTTTAGATCTACTCACTTAACTAACCAGAATTGTATAGATCAAATCAGGCCCAATGCTCAACTTCAGTGTACTGTGCAATAATTTTACTCTGATCAGACCTGGGTGGCCAAAGACAATGTCAGATAACCTTAATCTCAGTGATCTACTACACTTACCTTTGAATGTAGCATGATATTGGGATTTGGCCAATGAAATCTAAATGCACCGGATCATATGTGATTGAACTTTCAATGAGGATTGCTAATGGGTATTCCTAAAGGTATAAAGAATATAACTTCAGTTTTTTTAATCATATCTCATTTTAATGGTTTCAAATTCAATTTTTAAAATGCAGCATATGAAAAACAAGGTAATAATCATGTTTAGCTTATGAAATAAAGTAGATATAAGTACAAGATAAAATAGAACAGAATAAATGACAAAATATGTTTGTAGCAGACATTAATAGTTCCCAGCATAATATATGCCTAATTTTTTAGTTAATATGTATTTATCTAATTGTTTTTCTTCAGTAGAAAACACATAATTTATATATTTCTTATACATGCATTTATCTGATGCTCTGCCTTTTAGTTACAGATATTTGAGATAAATGTATTTTACTATATATTCACTTTCGAGAGATCAAACAACCATCAAGTGATCTCATATTATTATACAAACTGTATAAGATGCTAAATAAATATAATTCTGTCTACAGAAAAAAAATAGTTCCTGGCATAGTCTAAGGAATTTATTTGTTTGACAGTGAGTCTGCATAGACAAATTTGCTCATCACATTTTAAGAATCAGAATCTGACTGAGGCAGAACTAAGTTACTGAGTGTGACTTCTAGTTAAATATTTGAAAACTTACATCCTGCCTATTTTCAAAATAGAGATAATATAAACCAGGAGTTGGCGAATGTTTTCTAAAATGGGCTTAAAAAATAGTCTTTGCAGACCATACTGTATATCACTATACCCATTCTTCTGCCTTTGTTAGCATGAAAGCAGACATACGTAATAACTAAATGAAAGTGACCTTGTTCCAGTAAAACTTACTATACAGGGCTGGGATTGTGGCTCAGCAGTAGAGCACTCGCCTAGCACCTGCAAGGCACTGGGTTGAATCCTCAGCACCACATAAAAATAAATAAGTAAAATAAAGATCCAACTACAACTAAAAATTATATTTAAAAAAATTTACTATACAAACAACAGAAGCTGACAGGATTTGACCATTGGTAATCTAAAGCTACTAACTTTAGACCTTATTTTTGTTGAATGTGTTAAAAATATTTCTGAGAACAAACAATTGAAATAAGAACTTTACTCATTTATTTACCTTCAGAGGGATGAATTCCATTGAGTGAAAAACAATCAGTATGCTCTAATTAAATGCTACAGTTTAGAATACTTACATCCTAGAATTGAAAAACAACTATCAAAAATCACACATTCAATTAGAGAATATCATGCTAAGCAAAGGAAGCCAATCCCAAAAAACCAAAGGCCAAATGTTTTCTCTGATAAGTGGATGCTAATCCATAATGGGGAGAAGTGGAGGAAATTTGCATTGGGCAAAGTGGTTGGGGGATAGAAGAGGAGGGGGTAGGGGAATAGGAAAGATGGTGGAATGAGAGGGACATCATTACCCTGGATACACGTATGATTGCAAGAATGGCGTGACCCTACTTTGCATACTTCTCTGAAGTGAAAAATTGTGCTCCATTTGTGTACAATGAATGGAAGAGCATTCTGCTGTCATGTATTAGAATACTTTTTTTAAAAAATGACATACTCAACTCTTCTATGCATTCAGATACAGTCAATATTTTACATGATTCATCTTTAAACATTCCATTTAGCATCTAGAAACTATGGTATTCAAGAGTGCTTGCTGGTACCTCATATCATCCAAAAGCAAATAAAATGTCCATGTTAAAAACTTTTAGTGTTGAGCATTAAACAGGAAATGTTTATTATACATTAAGGAAGTTCATTTTAACTTGGAGTTCTCACAAACAGGAATATGTGAGTCCTGGGGTCTTGTGATACAATAAATAGGAAGATAATAGAATACAAGTCACATTATCAAATACCTGTTCCTCCTCCTGCTCTTACAACTTCATATCTTTTCCTTTCTCTGAATTTCCTTTTTCGCCGCCCCAGGGAATTTCTCCCTTCCTGGGTGACAAATGGAAATCTCAGCACCTATCTGCTTAAAAATTACCTATCTATGGTATCAGTGAGAAAGAGAGAGTCTTCTCCAAGATGTCCCAGCAAATATCCTAGAAAGGTTCCAGGTGACCTAACATGATTTTCTAAAGTGAAAATTGGCATGGACTCTTCGTTTGTTTCCCAAATATTTGAGTTCCTACATTTTACTAACCAACAATTACACTTGGTAATTGAGTCCGCCATGTGCTAAGTTGAGTGCTTACCGTGTGCTGAGCATTGTTTTAGGTACTAAGGAAGAGAAGCCAAGAAATGATGGGGCCATGCACCCAAAGCCAAGAATAGAATCAGTCCCCCCAAAATCATTTATATCAGGAGAGGTGCAGGTGTGGTTCCAAAAGGGAAAAACAAACTGTCATTACCAATCACAGCCACAAATTAACATAAAGGAGGAAAATTAAAGTTTTCTAATTTCAGAAAAGACTGATTCTTCTCATCAATCAATACAGGGGAAATATAACCTGATAGACCCTATATGTCAGTTGAAATTTTAAGTCAACAACAACAAAAGAAGAGGGGATTGAAGAACTGTTCCAAAGTAAATGTTTCCTTCAGGTTAGATTTTATCACAGAGAACATAAAATCATTCTAGCAGAGGCAAGAGAGGAGGTAAAGGAATACATAGTTTTTTTTTTAAATTACAAGTTCTGTATTTCTCTTCTACTGTGGAAAGAATATAAATTGAGAGAGAGAAAAAAAATCAATTGACAATTAAGTTTCAACAGCTCAGTTTTAGCCAGTAGTTTGTGATCCTAAAATAATTGAAGAATATATTATTTGCTCTTAGATGGAGAGGAAAGGAGGAGGGACAGGAAAGGGGAAGAAATGTAGAATGAATTTGACAAAATTATGCTATATGCATGTATAAATATACCACATTGAATTCTACCTTTAAGTATAACTATAAAGCACCAATCAAAAATAAATGAGTGGGGCTGGGGCTGTAGCTCAGTGGAAGAGTACTTGTCTTGCACGGGTGAGGCACTGGGTTCAATCCTCAGTGCCACATAAAAATAAATAAAATAAAAACATGCTGTCCATCTACCAAAAAAAATTTTTTTTAATGAGTAGAGGGCACTGGGGTTGTGGGTCAGTGGTAGAGCACTTGCCTGGCATGTCTGAGGCAGTGGCTTTGAGTCTCAGCACCACATATAAATAAATGAATAAAATACAGGCCCATCAACAACTAAATATATATATATATATTAAAAAATAAAATAAAAATAAATGAGTGGAAGGTAGACCAATAGAGTAGAAGAAAGGGAATAGGGAGGGGGGTGGGAGGAGGAGAAGGAGGAACAGAAGAATGGGTATAGTGATATACAACAGGAGTGGGAGACCAGGAAGATAATTCATTTTGTGTGTGCTTTATAATTATAATCATTAATTATTTGATTTTTTATAAATTATATTTTATAAACAACATCAAATAATTAATTAAGTCCACAAAATCATTTATACCAGGAGTGGTGCAGGTGTGGTTCCAAAAGGGAAAAACCAAACTGTCATTACCAGTCACAGCCACAAGTTAACATAAAGGAGGAAAATTATAGTTTTCTCATTTCAAAAAAGACTGAATCTTCAGGAAAAGCAAGTATTTTAAAAGATATTGCATTTAAGCACAAAAACAGGGTCTAAAAATAATTCTATTTAAGGAATATTAATCCTGTAGAATGCCTTCAGACTGTGTAGTGTGATTTCTGCCTTTAGATGTTTTTCAGGGATTCATTAGTCTTTAGACACAGTCTTAATAACTCTGTTAACATGGTCCAAGAAAGGTATCCAAATTGTTTTTAAAAATAAATAAACAAATGCCCTTACATAAACCCTGATGCCACAAAAAGCTAGAAGATAAAGGAACTGGAAGAAGTCCTCCTTGACTATGTTCACAGGGCAGCCATACCCAAGGTAGAGCTCATTTGACTGAGGTTGCAGGTCATTTATTATAGGTGTTCGTCTAACTTTGACCAGGAGCCAGGAAGCAGAACAGGTGACAGTCACTGTTGAAAGAAAATAACAAAAAGGGGAAAATATTATATAACATGTGTGTCCCCCAACAACAGCTTGGGAAATTTTCAGCCTGTTCAACTTGGTTGAATTCTCAACTACAGAGTGAAAATGTTTTCTATTTGTATATTTTCCCACTGTAAGATATTGGATCAAATACTTCATCTCTGTGACTCAGTTTCTTCATCAGAATATGGAAAAATCTTAGGAGAGTTATTTACTGAGATGTTCTAAGCCAAAGATCCGACCCCCTCCCCCGGGGTTTAAGAAAGCATTCAAATTTTACCAGTAGGTCTCATGAATATGTTTTTGAAATATTTCCCATTGTAACAGATCTAGACCTGAAATAGGAAAGGAAGAGCTTTTATAATTGGTTACACACAAGTGAAAATTTATCATGTGCTCCTATTTAAATTTTTCAGTTACAGTGTTGGAGCCTGCTAATATTACCTGCCTGATAACTAGATGAAACCAAAGAATTCTAAAATTGCCAGGTGCAATGGTACATGCCAGTAATCCCAGTGACTGGGGAAGCTGAGGCAGGAAGATCGCAAGTTTGAAGTCAGCTTGGGGAACTTAGCAACACCCTATCACAAAATAAAAAGGACTCCAGATATAGCTCAATGGTAGAGCCCTGGGTTTCATACACACACACACACAAACACATACAATAAAATAAAATAAATAAATCCCAAGTTGAACAAAGAATTATAAGATAAATAATATTTCGGTTACCTCAATAACTTTTATGACTGCTAACAAATTTTGGTCTGAGTCATACTTATTGTGTCTCTATGAATTCAAGTTATTATCCCATACTTACAGATGAATAAACTTATGCCCTTACATAACTGCTAAGTGGCAGAGCAGAATTAAAACCAATGCAAAATCTATTCAGAGTCTCAACTCTAAAAAGGAATCATTCACAGCTGAAAACAGCTGACTACTCTCTGACCAAACTTCCTAACACATGGCTAGAACATGCAGACCTAAGGAATTTTCTCTCCAGGGGACCTGGCAATCTCTCCTGATTTTGCCAGTCAGTGCAAGTATTTTATATTCTGCACAGAGACTAGCCAGTCTCTAGACAAAAGAAATTATGAACTTGGAAATTTTTTGAAAGTGTGGAGAAAAATATCTTGAGATCAGCTCAGGGGATAGATTCAAAAGGAAGAACTGTGCTGAAGACAGGTGGTCAAAACCCTAGCTTACTGCAACCTAGCAGTGTTTTAGCAACTGATCACCAGATGATACGAAACAAAACCCAAAAGTCAACAGTATGCTTTAAAAGCACCCTCACTGCTTGAAATTGCCACCTCTGGAATTCTCTCGGTTACTTACAATCAGCAAGACCCTTAACGGACACAAAAAGCATAAGAAGTCCTCTTAGCACGCCTGAGAGCTTCATTGTCACTTCAAGTCTCAGTCCCAGGTATTGCAACAAGCAAGAAACCAAGGTAGTCGGGCCTCTGCAGGGTTTATAAACCTCTTGCCTCCTCAGCTGTGAGTGATGATTTACCATTCTGGAAGACACTAAGAAGCCCTTAACATAGTCTTGGCCTTTTCTCCTGGGAGCCAAAATTACAATTATAAATCAGAAAATCAGGGAAGAGAATATAAAAGTGATCCTGGGTGTATCCCCTATGGTGTCTTCCCCAAGCATGTATTTGTCTTACATATTTTATGTCTATCTATTGGATGATTAAAGCAAGGATTTGCAAGGTTAGGAGAATCCAAGTAGTAATGAAACTCAGTTTTCAGATGGGACTAGATTTCCCACTTTGCCAATTTCCTTTTGGGTTCTTGTCTTGCAGATTTGAGGAATAAAATCCATGGACAAAAAGGGAAGGCAAGAGTAAAATGAAGTAGCATTTATTTAGGTGAGAAAAGACAGAACTCCTGCAATGCAGACAGCATCGACTTGCTAACTTGGGGGCTTACATGGGTTTTGGGTATGAGCATTGATCAAAATCTATGTTAAACAAGCCTGAGAAAGTATCAAGGCTATTGGTTGTGTCCTTCAGCCTGAGTTTCAATCATTCCTATAATTCCCATTGGGGTTCACTCCTTTCTTCCATTCCTGCCTCTCTAAAACAAAGGAGTTGGCCAGAGTGTTTCCACAGGTGAGTCCTATGGTCTTTTTTGAAACAGGCCTTGATGGTACCATTGATATTTCTACCAGTTATCCTTCAGGTGCGGTCTCTGCCTTTAAATAAGACCTCAATTGAGGCCAATTACCCATTGCCTGACCCTTATTGGTATTCATTAATACCAAAGAACCATTTGCAAATTGAATGAAAATACTGTATACCATATTATCAGGTTCACTATGGGATTTTGTGAGAAAAGAACAGGAAAAAAAAAAAAGCCAATGCCCCACGTGCAAGCCAATGATTCAGATCCAGTAAGCCTGGGCCAAACAGCACTAACCACCTCCAGGAGGTCCTGGTTCAGATAAACAAACCAACACAGCATGGTCTGAGGGCCGGGAAAATGCAACTTTTAGATTTCGAGGCATTTATCATGAATATGTACATATTAGGGTGCTGACGAAAGATTCTCTAAGGGATTTTTGGACAACTAAATCTAGAAATGAAAATTCCTAAGAGAAAGGGCTAATGGGAAAGAATAACAATGCTGCCCAGCTCCAAATGTTGGAAGCTTCAAATTTTGAAACCCCTAAAAAGTTCCATCTCAAAACTAAAAGTCTACTGTTTTGCCTTAAGATATTAAATGGCATGTCACGAAGCCTGTGTCAGCTCTGAGTGCAGGATGATTGCTGGTGAATAGTGTCAAATCCCGATACAGATCTCCAGGACGGTGAGCTGACGTGACACAGAACTAGCAAAGAGTTCCATCTGTGAACATCAGAAACCTCAAGGTGATGTCCTCGCTAGTATTTATTTCTATTACATTGCATATTCTTAAAATCAATAGGATTTTAGAGTGTTTGATGCTTAACACATTTAGGAAGGTCAAGGACTATAATCAGTCAATTTTATTCGACAATAATTTTCTGTTCTCTTAATCCGACAGGTGAACATGTTTTTTTACAAAGTTAACAAGAAGCTGGGTATGGTGGTGTGTGCCTATAATCCCATTGGTTTGGGAGACTGAGGCAGGAGGATCATGAGTTCAAAGCTAGCCTCAGTAATTTAGCAAGGCTCCAAGCAACTCAGTGAGACCCTGTCTCTAAATAAAATTTTTAAAAGGGCTGGGGATATGGCTCAGTGGTTAAGTGCCCTGAGTTCAATCCCTGGTACCAAAAATATAAATAAATAAACAGTTAACAACGTAAGAATACATAATTCTGAAATCTCTAATTCTAATAACTTACATGCTTTCTTCCTCTGTTAAAATAACCGCTGAAATTTTTTAGAGGTTAAATTTGCATAAAATTAACCATTTTAAATACACAATTCAGGGTATTTAGCACATTCACACATGTTCAATCATCAGTAGTTCCAAAATATCTTCATCACCCCCGGCCTGAAGAAGCACCTAAAGCAATTAAGCAACTCCCCACTCCTCTCTTCTCCCAATCCCCGGAAACCATTAATCTTTCTGTTCCTGTGGATTTACCCATTTTGAATATTGTATAAAAATTGAATTATCTGTGACTTTTTGTGCATAGATTATTTCATTTAATGTAACTTTGTTCAAGATACACTAAATCCTAGTCTCGGCACATCATTCCTCGTCAGAGTTGAATAAAACCCCTTTGGATGGATATATCATATTGTGTTTTTTTATTATCTACTGATGCACACTTGAGTTAACATGTTTGTGAACAGTGCTACTATGAATCTTTCTGTACAATATTTGTTTGAATATTTGTTTTCAATTCTGTGGGCTGGAGGCCTATATTTTAATTGCCTCTATTCACCCCACTGCTGAGGGAGAGCTTCCCATGCCAGGGTTGCAGCGATCGCCAAACACTTGACAAGTGACACAGAACAGATTGGCTCCTCAGCAGTTCATTAGGACTTGCCGTCACTGCCTGGGGAATGCCCCATGTCACATAGGGCCACAGGGAAGCTGCACTTAGGGTAAAGAAAGTGGGCAGCCAGGTGGTACAAGTCACAGTCCTCACAGTCTGAAGAGGATGAGATGACCCCTGGCTCCCACAGGAGGACACAATGGCCTCCTTTGAATGATTCATTAGGCTGTCACAAAACAGAAACTGCCATTCAGAGATAAGTTTCCACTCACTGGCTTCCACGTATCTGCTCCTCCTGGGGACTTAATCCACAGGAGCAAAGAGGGGAGATATCTGTGAAGTCAAGTCAGTAGAGGCCCTCCCCATCTCACCAGACATGGAGAGCCTCATGGAAATAAAAGCACATAACACGGGGCCTTAATTTTAGTCCTGATATGACGAGTTGATGGTGGAACCCACAACTTACCTCCTCCAGCCATGTACAAAGGCCCCAGTTTCTCCGAATCCCAGCTAACACTGTATATTGTGAAACTGAGAGTTATGTGTCACTGTTTCTCATTGACAGTTTTGTGGTTGGTTGTGAAGAGATTGTCTCATCGTGTTTTTTATTTGCATTTCTCAACTGATTCACGTCTTTTCAGGTGCTTGTCCGGTCCTTTGTAAATCTTTGGAGAAATGCCTACTCAAGTTCTTTTCCATTTTTGATTGTTTGTCTTTTTGCTATTCAGTTGTAAATGTTCTTTAAATACTCTGAATACTAGACACCTTACAGGCTCAAGGTTCACAATTTTTTTTTCCCATCCTGTAGAATATCTTTTCACTCGATTGAGGTTGTTTTAATTTTTGTCAACTCCATTTTTCTATGTTTCCCTTCATTGCTTGTGATTTCAATGCTGTGCCTAAAATTTGACTGCCAAATCCAAGGTCATGAAAAATTTCCCCTAAGTCATATAGCTTCATGTCTTATATTTAGGTGTTTGCTACATTTTGAGTTCGTCTTTCGAATGGTAAGAGGTAGGAGTTCCACGTTTTTTCTTTTCCATGGGGATATTCAGTTGTCTCAGCACCATTTATTGAAGAGACAATTTGTTCCCCAACTAATGATCTTGGTACCCTGGCCAAAAATCTGTTGATCGTGGATGTTTGGGTTTATTTTTAGACTCTCTATTCCATTAATCTATATCTTTATCCTTATGCCAGTCACTATTTTTATTACCGTCGGTTGTGGTATATTGTGAAACTGAGAGTTATGTGTCACTATTCTTTTTCAAGATTGTTTGGTTATTTTGGATTTCCACATGTGTTCTATGGTCAGCTTTTTTCTTTATGAAAAAAAAATGGCATTGGGGATTTTGATAGAGATTGCACTCAATGCATAGATTGCTTTCAGTATTGTCCTCATAGTAATGTAAGGCATGTATGCCTTGTAAGGGTCCGGCGAACGTCGGAGGAAGAGACCACCAAGAGACCGGCTCATGCAACAGCAAAAGGGGATTTATTGAGGATCCAATCCAGCACGCTGGGGCTCCAGGCTCACTCAAGAAGGGAGAGCGGCCAAGAGCCCCGAGCAGAGGTTAAGCAGTGCTTAAGTACACTTTTTGGGGAGTGCGGGGACTTTGCATACATCAGAACAAATCATCATGAGGCGCGGGAAAATCAAACAACAATTTTTAAACATGATTAGTACATTCATTGGCGGGAACAGGTCGGGAGGGAGTGATAGGTCAATCCTAAGAAGGGGGGTACATTCAAACTGATTGGTTTGGGCCCTGAGATGCCTACGTGCCAAGCTGCACAGGGTCCTAGGTTATTAAACAACTAAATGGTCAGGGGGAATATCTACTGGGCAGTCCCGGGAATTGTCCTAACAGCTACAGGAATTTCAGGTTTTGGGTGTAGCATAGGAACTTAACAATACCTGGTCCTTTACATTTTAACTCAGGCTTTGCAGCTTAGAAACTTTACAATACCCAGTCTTTTACACTTTAACTTCAATTTCTTTTACTCTTACAGCCTGAGCACAGGATATATTTGGTATTTATTTAGGCATTCATTTCTTTCAGGAGCCTTTTGCAGTTTTCAGATGGGTTTTTGTCTGCCCTTGTAGCTGTGTCACGCTATCTTGATAATAAATTTAGGGTATGTTTTGATATCTGGAACAGTAAATTCTTCTACATTTCCTATAAAGATATTTTGAGGCTATTTGGCCAAATGTCATTTCATAATTTTTAGAGTTTACACTTGCTTATATTTTCCCTTGTTTTATTTTTACCTTCTTAACAAAATTTTAAGTCTATAGTACAGTGTCATTAACAAGGTTGTACAGTAGGGCTCTAGAACTTTTTCATCTGCCATTCCATAATTTTTAAGGTTTCCCAGTAACAAAAGGAAAAAAATAGAAATGCAATCAGTATTGGAATCAATCTATAATCAATGGATCTTCAGTCCATGATCATAATCTCTTCATT